TCAAAATTAGCATGTGAAAGAAACTAGCTAACTGAGGAGATGTAACCCCTTCCCACCAAAGCTGAGGTTGTAACAAACACACCCTGTGGAATTTAAAAAAAAAAGATCCTTCTCTCAATCAATGTTCCTGTCTATGAGACAATGTGGGCACCAGTAAGCTACTGACCTTTCTCCCATCTCTAGCCCATTTCCTCCCCTGGAAGTACTTTCTTCCTTAATAAACTCTTTCAGCTTATACCTTGTTTGTGTGTTCCTGCCAAGTTTCTTGTTCTGGGACACAAGAACTTGAAAGCCACAATGGGTGCTCATTGGGTTCCTGTATCGTCTAATATAAGTGGGCCACCGTTATGAGAGTGAGTGCCTGGATCTGTGAAAGGTGATGTCTTGTGCTCAAGGTAACTAAACCCAAGCAGAGCCAGAGTGACGAGGGAGTGGAATGAGAGTGGCCACTGAACTCCCCTCCCCCATCTCTCTCAGTCTCTCTGTCTCTCTCTCTGTGTCTGTCTGTCTGTCTGTCTGTCTGTCTGTCTATCTGTCTGTCTGTGTCTATGTGTTTGTGTCTCTGTCTCTCTGAACAAAAAGCTTACCTTGCTCCACCAGCCAAGTGTTCTAATAGTTGAGACCTGAGAGGTAGAAGCCAAGGCCATGCTGGTGACATGAGGCTGCCAGTGGAAATGCAGACAAGTGACAGGGTTCTACCACTACCCTATAACCTCCTATCACAACAGATTTCCTTTGCGGTGAGGTTTAAAGACGGAAGTTCCCAGCCTATGGTCTACGTGGAACAGTTATCACAAGGCCCAACTTTGAGTTCTGATGCTTTTCCCAAGATTCCTGAAACCCTCGGCTGCCTGCCCCTATCCCATTTCAAGTAGGCATGACTTGAGGGAACAGACTCCACCGCCTCTTTTGTGTTTTGCAATCATACTTTCAAAACAGGCTGAAAAAGGATTTTGATTCTGTTAGAATATAATGTTAAAACAATATTTAGTTTTTTGTGAGTGAGGAAATCAATTGTTTGCTTATGTCTGAACCTGCTGACCAAGAGAAAAAGAAGGAAGGACCCACTTGAAGCAAAAAGGTAGTGCTGAGCCAGGCATTCATTATTCTGGGGGCGGGGGTAGGAAGCAGATCTGGGTGTGGCCTGTGTCATTCTATGTACTACAGGCAAAGGTCAGGAGATGTTTCTGGGTACCACCCTCACAGAGCCTATGTTGTTTGTAAATTCAGTTTTACTGATATTGCAATGTCACCACAGTTAGCCCAAGAACAGGAACATCGTTAGGGATTCTGGCTTTGTCCACAGCAAAGGATTACTCACAGTGTCACACACACATGAGGCCTGAACTCTCTGGACTGGAGCCAGTTTCTCCTTTAGTCATTTGAAAGTGTGTCCTCTCCTCTCTGTGATGTCTTTGGAACAACAGATGTACAGAGATCACTGTAACCCCACCCCATTGATGACACTTATAAGTAACCCCACCCCATTGATGACACTTATAAGTAGACAGTGGGCTGGATCTGGTGAAGCTTGGATTTCCCAGGTCCTGCAGGGTCACTCTTGCCCTGCAAACATCTCCCTCCTTTAAACTGTAACTAGCACCTCAAATTCCACTCCCACAGTTCCCTCAGGGCCGACAGCACCCTTGCAAAGTAGCTATACACCCTTAAAGGTCATCCTTGCACTGGCTTGAATCTGCTTCCATGATGTTCTCCATTCCACTCTAACCTTTTCTTACTCATATTAGCATCTATTAATGTAGTGTCTCGCAGGCTAACAGTTATTAAGCATGTTCTGTGGGCCAGAAACTGCTTGCTCATCTTTTTATTCCTCGTGCAACCACATCGAGGTAGCACTGCTGGCTCCCGTCCAAACATTAGAGGGTACCTATGGTAATGTAAACCCAAGAATCAGGCTGGGGCCAGATCAAGATGTCTTTGATAGTCCCAGCTCATGTTATCTCTGCTGGCTGCTAACAGAACAAACTGAAGTTTTCTTTTTTAGGAATATGTAAATAGTCTAGAAGTTTCTGTTCTCTTTCTCAATGATTTCTAATCCCAGCATGCACCTGATAAAACAACTGCAATGCTAAGGATACTCTCCCTTCCTCTGGACTCTCAGAACCACCCACTTGGGTTCACCTTGCTTCTCACAGATCACTAGGATGCATGATGAAATCTCCATCAGTGGGGTCAAGACAAAGATCCTTGTTGCACAAGTGTGAGGACCTGAATTAAGATTCCCCCAATCCCACATAAAAGCCTGACATAGTGATATTCACCTGCGATCTCAGTGCTAAGACGTAAGGGAGCTAGATAGGCAGAGCCAGGGGGGCTCATCTACCTGAAGACAGTGAGATCCAGATTTAATGAGAGATCCTGTTTCAATAAATTAAAATAAAATAAGATAAGATAAATAAATAGAATAAAATGGAGAAGCAATTTAGGAAGACATCTGCTACTGACTTTTGAAGATCTGCAGGTGCCTCCAGGGGTGAATATACAAGCATGCAGCCATATCCCCAACACATACACACACACACACACACACACACACCTATGTCTTCCACACATAGGTTCATGCCAACACTGAGAATCTCCACAATACCTGAATGTCTAAAATTATCTGATTGTCTTATTTAACTGTCTTTTCTCATGTTTGCCTCATGCAAATTTTCATATTACAACATATAAAATTCAGACAGCTTAACCATTCTACAAAAAAGAGGCCCAAGAGCTCAGTGTCACAAAGACAGTAATGCTCATTATTGCCAGCAGAAATGATGATGGTTTCACATCACTTGAAATGACACTTTAGCATTCAGAAATAATTTATAAATTCAACCCATAGACCTCTCACGACAACTTGAGTTTTATATGTCAGATAACAGGCAATACTGAAGCACACACAGAATGACCCTCAGCCCGGAGGCCAAAGACCCCCTCAGGCCCTAGAGTGTGTCTGAAAACAAAGACGTGAGGCCTCCTGCATAAAGTTGCTATGGTTGGTCATACACATACAAAATTATCCGTGCATACAAAGATAGCATAATCTCTTGTTACATGGAAAATAACTTCCTCTTGGAAGATAAAGTCAGAGATTGTGTTGCTAGCAGGTGGTAAGGTGCAGGCCAGCCTGTAATGTATCTTCATGAGTTAGCATTGTTTGTGTGTGTAAAATAAGGTTTAGAAATGAAGGGATTTGGAGGAGAGAAAGGAAGGAGATGAGACATCTATCAACACATTGTAATCCATTTATTTTGTACATGTGACATCATAAGCAAAGGCTTTGCTTGTGTTCTAGCTAAACTCCAATAAATAAATATGTACAAATATGATGAGCTTACAAAATAGTAAAGAAAAACCTTTCTTTACAAAAGATACACATATAATACATTTGTTCCTTACACTGACATATGAACTCATTCCTAGCTTACTTAAAACAAAACCCTTCTGGACTCTGTGTGGCAATATCTAGAGGTGTGTACCTGGTCATCTTATTTTATCCAGAAAGCAAAGCTATGCAGAGAAAATTCCTCAGTTTCTTGATAATAAATGGCCTTAACATGGCCTGCAACTTATTATTAACTAACATTTAAATGTTCTCCAGAAGTTGGAAACTCTTTAGACCAGTTGTCCTGAAATGACTGGACAAATGTCCCTGTAGATGTTGTCAAAATGCAGCTTCTTATGAACTGGAGCACTGGGGTGGGGGTGGGGGGGTTAGAATTTTGCAATTCTAGCCAGATCCCAAGGGAGGTCCCAATTCTTGTGTACAGGCCAGTGGCCAGGGTTAGAAGATCCCTCTGAAGTACAAGATATTGTTCAAGAGTCTCATTAAAACAAAACCCTATCTAGGCATCCCCAGACTCCATTCCAAAGTTCCCATGTCTCCCTAAGCAACACTTTGCTTTTATTCTGGGACTATAAGTGGCAATCGCGGTTGAGAGTCAGCTAGGCACAAAGCATACAACTCAAGCTTTACTGGAAGATGCTTTCATCTGTCAGTCTGAGATATGTCCAGGCTAAGGACCACATACATCCTTGGATAGCTGTGAATGTGGCCCTATATGTCTGAAGATGGCAATGTTCTACTCCAATGTCAAAGGGTTGGACAAAGGATCCTCTGCACATTTTCAACACTGTCAAAAATTAATAACACTGTAGGAGCCTGGATTTAAAAAATCTTAATCATAATTACCTCTTTTGTCATTCTGAATCAAAACAACCGCAACAATCATAAAACCCAGGCTTGCCCTTTCAAAAACGAAGATGAAACAAACAAACAAACAAACAAACAAAAATTCCAAAACCCTACTTCCTTGAGTTTAATTTCTGTGACATTCTATCACTCTTAACTAGTTAGTGTTCAACTGAAACATTTTAACTTTTGTTAAAATTCCTTTGCTCTGGTTACCTGAAATTTCCGATTAAATTGCCAAAGCCAGTGAAAAAGAAAATTTTCTGCTTTTAGTGTTTCTTTTCTGTTTCACAAAAGAGTTTAGAGAAAAGGGAAGGTTTGGGGAGGAGAATGACAAAGGGAGGGTGCAAGGGGGAGGGGAGGAATGGAGGGACAGAGAAAAGGGTGTGGTACTGGAGACTTAGAAACAGAAGAAAACTTAAGGGAAGAAAATACTAAATCCTTTTTTAAAAAAATAAATAAATATCTGGGTCATCTCCAGCCCATAGGGTCAAGGTTTGCCTCCAAGCCTAAAGATCAGCAGCACTCACACATTCTGCACCCCGAGGTGAGGGACTGGGACACTCTGGGATCTTCACTGTATTTGCCACCTCCGCCCAGTTGTCCAGTATCTACTTAGAAAAAAAGTAGTGGGCTTTCCTGCTTTAAGTCCTCCCTACCCTCGCCTGTAGTGAGAGTATGGGCTCTTCTCTGGTTATTGTACCAGCCAGACCGCTTTTACGTTGTCAGAGAGCACAGCTGGGAGGCTGAAGAGAGAGAAAGAGAGGAGAGGTACAGAGTCCCGAAAGACAAAGGCCACCTGGGTCTCTGGAGCACATCCCTCAGAACTTCTGCAGCGTCCGATCAGTCCTCACGTGCTGCAGCACTACCTCCTTGGCTGAAGATGCGCACTTGTACTCCAGCTCCGCGCGAGCAGCGCCCTGCTTCTTGCGCAGGTGACAGAGAAGGGCCAAAAGCGCCACCACCAGAGACAGGCTGGCAATGGAGATGCCAATGAGCACGCCAGAGTGCACTGGCCTGGCAGAAGGGGGGCCTGTAGGAGAGCCTGGTGACGGGTTGACTGGAGGCTCCCCAGAGCCATCGTCCTCGGTGTCTTCCCTAACAGGGATGGGATCGCAGTCCTGGCTAATCTGGCCAGCAAGGGCTGTGTCAGGCCCACAGATGCACTCATAGGAGCCAGGAAGGTTTCGACATTCATTGTTGAAGCACTCCCCTTGACTGCACTCGTCAATGTCCGTGCATATGGAACCCTCGTCCAGAATGAAGCCTTCAGGACACTGGCAAAAGCTAGGGACGTTAGGGTCACAGTCAGCTGGGCACGATGTTTCATTGCAGAACAATTCGCACCTGTGCGGTTCACCTGGCTTGGGTGCGAAGCCCTCAGCACAGATGCAACGGTACTCGGTGGAGCTCACTGGCTGGCACTGATACTCGCAATTAGATCCGAAACACGGATCCAGGAGCTCAACACACTCTCCATCCACCAACTCATAGCCATCGAAGCAGAAGCATTCGAAGCCGCCCTTGGTGTTAACACAGCGCTGCGGGCATGGATTGGGCCCCTGCTTACAGTCATCCACGTCCTCGCACCGGTGTCCATCTGCTGCCAACTGGTAGCCTGTCTCGCACATACAGGAGTAAGAGCCTGGGACATCAGCGTTGCTGACGCAAAAATGCTCGCAGAGTTCGTTGCACGATTGAACCACAGGTCTTGCGCACGAACGTCCATCGGCCTGCAGGTCCATGTCGCTGGGGCAGAGGCATCTGGGTTCATTCGTGCTCCTGTTGCACAAGTACTCGCAGCCACCATTCTCCACGCTGCAGTTCCAGGCTCCTGCGGCTTCCCGAGACCAGTGTCCCTCTGAAGTTCCGGGCGGGGCCCTGCACACCAGCTCCAAGCCGAGGGGCTCCACCGCAGCGGAACTGCCTACCGGCAGCGTCTGAAAATCCGCACCACTGACCCCGAACGGAGTGTTGTAAGTACTAGAGATATGGGCAGCTTCAGGATCTCGAGTATTCACCGTCACAGGCCTACAGGAAGCTGTGAAGTTAAACTCGCAGAGGAAACCCTGGGTCTCGGTCTCGCACGGTTTCTCTTCCCAGGCCGGCTCGCCGGGTGCAGCTTCTGTTGCTGTCGAGACCGTGACGCAAAGCGGGCCGCAGAGTGGAGCTGACTGGTCGTTGGGCCGCGCCCACCTGCTGTAGCTAGTGTGGTTATCGCCAGTAACCCACTGGAAGCCGCGCAGGGGCCCGAGATGCACCGGGTCGCCACAGCCCTGAGGGAGCTGTAAACCGATCCAGGGCCGAGAGTCCATACTACTGTCGCTCAGCAGAAGGGAGATGACATCTGCAGCCACTGAGGAGCGCACTGTCATCAAATGTCCTTGCAGGCGCTGGCAGGCCTGGCTGGCATCGAGGAAGGTCACGGGGCCCTGGAAAAGCGCGAAGCACTCGTGTTCCACGCATTGACTGCCTTTGGGCTGCAGCTTGGCGAGTGCAGAGAGCCCCAGGCCAGCTGGAGCCAGCACACCCAGAAGGAAAACTCCAAGCATGCTGTCCAGGGGTGCACCGTACAAGCTCCGTGAGAAAACTAGCTTTGCGCTAGTGCAGGCACCCAGTCCCGGCAGAGGGATTTGTACGCCTGTGGTGACAGCAGTAGCCTCTGTCGCAGCCTAGACGTTCCTAGCCTAGGCTCGTAGTTCCTGCGAGGCAGCCTCTGACATGCCACTCAGCTGAGGCTCCAGTTTATAAATGCGCGGCCCTCCCTCTTTGGACGTTCGGGAAAGGGAAGGAAGTGCCTGGTGGGAAGGGCTGATGCTGCGTTCTCGGATTACTGGGTTCTCCGGACGCCTTGTGCCCGCCCTCCAGCCTGGGATCACCTCTGCGCGAGGAGTTAAACTCTGTCTGGGCGTTGGGAGGCCCTCGGGCGTGGCCTGCAGTCGCCACCACAGAACAGAACTGTGTCAGCGAGTCGATAGTTCCTGCCCCAGACTCTCCGGTATAGCCCGCGGGTAGCCTGTCTTTAAGCCTCTACACACGCACACACGCGAACGCACACGTACACAACACACACCACACACACACACACACACACACACACACACTTCCCCATAGATGCTACCAAAGTTTGGAGGATGGTCTGGTTGGTGGGGCAGGGAAAAGAAAGGAAGAGTCCGGTAGAGGGTGTGTCTGGGACCTGCAAGACTCTGAGAAGGGTTAGCTAGACAGATCCAAGACAGGAGCGCAGGAAGCCTGGCTGCAGTGACAAGCAGGGGGTTAGGTCCCAAATGACCTTAGAGGAGGCCGGGGAAACGATACTAGGACAGCAAGAAGACGGAGTGGTCTAATAATCTCAAAGCCACTCCTTTCTCCATTCCTCTCCTGTTCCTGAGCAGGCATCGCCAAGGCCAGACCCTATCTCTAGTTGCTTGAGAAAGTCGTGCAAGTGTTTTATGGGAGATCATGGCCCCCTTACCCAGTCCGATTCCTGCAGAATCCTCTGGGAAAGGTGTGTTGCGTTCCTTTGTTCTGGTTTTGTTTTGTTTTGTTTTTTCTTCCAAGCCTATCTCAAACCCCTCGACGAAACTGGCTGGGGGCCTCCGCAAGGAGGCGATATGAGCTACAATGGAGCCTACTTCGTTTCTTTTGAAGTGATCATTTCCATCGTCACTTGAGAAGCTCAAAAGATAGAGGTGCCTACACAATCCATTTGCTCACAAAGGGCATTGAAGAGGAGGGTCCTGTGGGCAGCTGGGAGGGGCGGATGGGAATCTGTCACTTTTATCTGCTTAAGCACTCACCAAAAACGTGGAGGGCTGTGTCCAAATCATAGCTTAGCCACCACCTCCCCACCTCCCTCATCTTCCTACTTCAATAACGCGCGCGCGCAGACACACACACACACACACACACACACACACACACACACACACTCACATATAATATATATAGCCCTACACTCCGCGGCAGTCACTTCCACTCCACTGCCAGGAGGCGGTGCTGTTGAACTCTAGACCAATCCAAGGACAGTGGCGCATTAGTACAATTGCCACCGAGAAGCTCAGGCCTCCTGGAGCAAAGCCGAAGGTTAGGAAATTCAGCTGTGGGAAGCCCTGTGTAGTTCCCACGGCTTACAGGCTTACAAATGAATAGCTTCTCTTGTCCAGTACAGCTCGGGCTTTAGATGACAACAGAAGGCTGAGGTGTCCTTACGTGTCAAGAGAGTGGGATGAACCCATTGAAATTGTAAAAAGAAGCAGGTAGAACACCCTCCATCTGCTTGCCCATGTGGGACTCTGGCTGTCAAGCCAGAGCTGGGACCTGTAGAGTCCACCATCCCCTTGGCTGAACTTGAATTATTGGGTCAAAGCTGCCTCAGCTCTCAGTAAAGAAAACTCCAGAGCTTCGAATGAATGCCAAGCGTTTAAGTTCTGGGAATGAATTCAGCTTACACCTGGGTCGTGGGAAAGAGAAAAGAATGGCCAAGGATTGGACAGTAGGGGTAGCCTCTAGAGAAGGAAGCAGCTTTCTAATGTGGGATGGGACCTCCAGGGGCACTGTTCCAGAGTAGGGACATCCCCTAGGTAGAAGACAACAGGGCATGGACCAGCTGAACCGTCCGCAGAGTGTGAACTGGTGGGATTATTCAGTGCTTTGAGAGCATGAAATTAAAAGATGGTTACCCTCCTGAGTGGGGACTTCTCAACATGCCAGCTGTCTTAATTAGCGTTTCTGGGGCTGTGATAAAACAACAGGACCAAACGCAACTTGGAGAAAAAGAGGTTTATTTCATCTTACTGTTTAAAGTTCATTATTCAGAGGAGTCAGGACATGGACCTAAGGGCAGGAACTGACACAGAGGCCATAGCGGAATGTTGCTTACTGCCTTGCTTCTCATGGTTTGCTCAGCTTGTCTTCTAATATCACCCAGGACCAACCAGCCCAAGGGTGGCACTTCCCACAAGGAGATGGGCCTTCCCACATCCTTCATCAGTCAAGAAAGTACACCACAGGCTTGACTACAGGCCAATCTACTGGGGAAATTTTTGCAAATGAGGTTCTCTCTTCCCAAATGACTAGCTTGTGCCAGCTTGGCACAACTAGCCAGCATACCAACCATGAGTATGGGTAAAAGCTGGTTGGGGTCTTGGAGGGATTTTAGCCTATTCATTCCCATCTTTGGTGGCTATTTTTTGACAAAATGTTTCCTAGGGAGATGCAACACACATGTCTACTGACCTGTGATAGGGAACTCATGACAAGCCAGAGTATGAATATCACCAAAGTCCAACTTGGTAAACCAATGTTTTTATTTGGGTTAATTACTAGTGCAGAAATGACTCAAACACAGGTGGGCTGCATCATCAAAGCCCACCTCAGCATATGTGACAGCTCACAAAGCCGGCAACCTGGAGCACATTGCACAGTCTGCAGGCAACTCAACAATTTGGAGAGCGTCCTTCCCAGGTAATTCTGTTGGTCTAAACCTCCTCCAGGCAGTTAGCTGGTTTGATCTCAAAGTCTTCTTGCCAGCTTGACTCCACTCACCTGAGAGGGACTCTTATCTTTTATTGCTTATTCTGGCAGGGAGAGGCCTAGTAAATTTAGTCAGTTTCTGGGACTTCCTGAAGCTATATCTAGTTGTCTACTTTCTTGCTTAAGGAGCTTTCCTGTAGGATGGAATGTTTTAATCTAGGAGTAAACTATTAACAGCAATGGGGGAAGTCCAATGGAAAAGGTAACCACACTACTGCAAAGAGTTGGGATTTCACAGAAAACTCAGTGATGGGGAAGGTCATCTAGGTACATATAAAGAGGTGCTGCTGGTCCTTCCATATTAGAAACAATACCATGTGGGCTCTAGGAGGTTCTGCAACATCTTGCAGAGGACAGATGGGTATGGCATGAGCTCTCTGTGTCACCATCACTTTACCTCTGTCCCTAAGCACATACTGCATGGCCTTCTAAGGCTTCCCCTCTGACACTGTAGCTTTCCTCTTCAGCCTGAAGTGCTGAAGGCTCTTCTGCATGCTTTCAATTTCTTCTATTGAATGAAGTTTTCCAGACCTCTGTAGACCATGGCTTCCTATCTATAGTGGGTGTGTGACACACCCATCTCCCTCTCCTGGGCTTATTCCTTACCTTGCCAACTCCCATTATACAGCAACTAAGACATTTTACTGCTGAGACCATCTCCTCAAAGAGCATCATATCCCACACACTGATTCTAAAACCACTTTTTCATCCTTACACTTCCAGATATCCCTGGGCCATTTACACTCTTGATTTTTTCTCATTTTCAAGGCTTTGTCCATAACGTTTAATATATGTGGTCCTGCTCTCCTGTGAGCAACTTCTCTGGTCATCTTGCTGAGCCCACCAAGGTTACCACTTCATAATGGTGACTACTTCTTAGAGTCAGCCTCTGTCCCTGAACTCCTCACTCTCTACTGAACTGACGCATTTTCTATCAGGAGACTGCAGAGGAAGTGTTCCAGAAGGCTCCTCCAACCCAGTTTTGTTCTGTACCACAATTGGAGCCACCCAGTTTGAAACCACCTTATCTTTTATCCCAGGCTTCATTAGTTTCTTTCTTGTCCCCATTCATTCTCAAACTTCACTATTCCTGACATAACACTCTATGTTGAGGCATCTGGATTCCCAGCACTGTTTCTGGCTTCTAATCTCCCCTCCTCCTCAGCCTATACCACCTGGATCCTCATACTCCCTCAGCGTTCCTCACTATAGGCTCAGAGAGGCCTGAGCTCCTTTCTGCTCCCTTCCTCACTGAAGGGATTTCTTGCCTCTATTCCATGGCCACAAAAGGGGGGTTGCATTCAAGAATACTAGGCTGAGATTTGGAGCCAGAACCCACACTCCACCTCTGCACACAGTTTCAGTGACCAATTTTCTTCTGGGCCCAATGGCTGTTAAAAGTTCTGGCAAGAGAAACTTCTAATCAGTATCAGAGAAATGTCACATTCCTCTCTCTTCTAGTCTTGGACTCACAGCTCTTCCTCTGTTAAGAAAATCCTCCTTTAAAAAAAAGAAAGAAAGAACTAATGAAAGAAAGAAAGAAAGAAAGAAAGAAAGAAAGAAAGAAAGAAAGAAAGAAAATCCTCCTATTGTCCCAGTCTCTGTCTTCCAGAAATGTTGCCTTTTTCTAAGTCTCCACTGGCACGCTGCCACTTCAACAAGTGTTTCTAAGTAACGAAACTTCCTACACATCTTTCCATTTTCTGTTCCTTCCCAGCTCATTCAGACACCTGTGGATCCCATCACCTTTTGTTACACTTACACTCTGGCTCCCTGGGATGAGTCATGGCTCTTGTACCTTTCTGTATCCCTCTCACCTAATGTCTTGGTCTACACAGTCATCTGTGTCCCTCTAGGTGATTTCTTCAAATTTACCTGTGAAGCCAAGAATAAAGGACCTCAGAGCCTTTTGGATAATTTAGAGTACGGACTTCGGAGGTAAATTGGCTGGACTTGAGTCCTCCACCATGTGCAAGATTTTTCCTTTTTAATTTTAAGATTTTGCAAGTAACTTCCCATTTCTCTAGCCCTCTGTGTTTCAATTTCCTCAATTGGATGATGAGAACAGTAGTGGTGAACGCATTATGAGAACTGAATAGGTTCTGTGTGTAAAACATTTACCAAAACTGAACTATAATGAACTCTCAAGTTTTAGCTAAAAAATAATCACACATGCCCCTGAAATTTGAGTTCAGCCACTAATTGCTTCC